TTTTAATACCCTCTAAAATAAATTTTGGTACAATGAACATATCAATTATCTCTACAACATATAAAACTATACTTTTCTTTCAACTGGGATTTTCATATCTATGCCTTCCTCACTCTACTCCCAAGTGAATACATTTCCTCAAATGAATTGAATTTTAACTCTAATAATCATATCAGGCATGACATAAATCCTACCGTACTCAATATTCATGTCTCTTATTTTACATATAGACCATTAAGAACTTTTGAAATGTCATCTTGATAAGTGTTTTCATCTAAATTACCACAGCCCTCCAACAAGGTTTCTGTTCAATAATATTTCCCAATTCAAACTTACTTTTGAATGAGGAGATGTGTTTTATATGGCATCACATTATCATGCCATCTCATAAACTGTGACAGAATGTCAATATGAATTAAATTAGGAAAGTAACACCTTTAAAAAAGAACCCCAGTGAATAAACAGTAATTGTTTTGTATTCATTACAGTATTTATATTAATATGTCAGGAAGCAAACTTTTCTTAAAGTCGTACCATCAGGGGATGAAGATAATTTGAGTTCAATGGTGCATCAAAAGAGAGGTAAGAGGCTTTTAAACTAATTCTGCTCTGACAGATTGTCAGGGCAAAGTAAGAACAGGATTTTGCCAGCTACTGTGAAAAAGCGGTACAGAAAATTTTGAATGTCATTTCTCCACAGTGCCAAAGGCCAAGAGGCATGGGAAATGTAAAACTCAGTTCAGCATCATTTCTAATCTTCCACCTGTCATTTATAGTAGAAGCATGTCTTAGGGCAACTGTGCAGTGCGGGAAATTCTTTTTAATGTCATATCTGTTGTAGAAGTAGTGAGAAGGAAACTACATTCTATGAAATAGTTCTTCAATCTTCCTGATCCTCCCTCTGAGGTCAAATTGATATCACACTAGGTTTTCAGGTTATTAATTGCAGAGTGGACCTTTTATATTTGCTTGATCCTTATCAATACTAATGAAATAGGTTTTATTGATGAAGTAGAGGAAAGTATAGTTCATCATTATTCTCCTGATATAGTCCATAAAGGATATACATAAACTGATCAAGCATTTAGACTTAAAAATCTTAAATGAAGAATTAAAAATAATTTATACTTTTAGAATCCTAGATTCTGACTTTAGACATGTGTATAAACTAATCCTAAAATAAGTAACTTGAACATAATTTTCACATATCTCACACTTCTTTCAGCTTTCTCTTCTTATAAAAATGCCCCAGCATCACCTAAAAGAAATACTGTTTAACTGTAAGATGTATTATTTGAAAGGTATACCTACATGATTACAAGAATGATGACATTTCAGCCGGTTATAAAGGATCAATGCATGTTTGTATAGCTAGGAAAATATACTTATTATGAACATGAACTCTAACTAGATAGATAATTTCCATAATTTTAATATATACATATAAAATGCAAATATTTATTTAATGAGACTTATATAATCAAAGACCATCTAGAAAGATCTTAGGGAAATATCATATTTTCTTGTAACTTGAAGATGCTACCCTATGCATATACTTAATTACAATAGTTCTTAAGCAAAGAAAGCCTTACTATAAAATAAAAAGTGCTCTGTTTTGTTATTCATTTGATTCTTTAGGTTCAGGACATTATTTATTTGGCCTTTTCCTTTCTAACTGGAGCGTGAATCGTGCCTCATGTTTACTGTATTTATGGGTCTTATAAGCTTCAATTTCCTATTGTGTCTTTGCTTCAACCCCTGCTCTTGGGTGTACAGCCTCAGAGTGTGTGCATCTGGTGCTGTTTCTGCTACAGTTGTCTGTCATCATTGCAGCAACCATATCAAGGTGCCAGATGAAAATGTGAGAAAAAAACAATGTCTTATTTTGTCGTGGCGTCTTGGCCAGTCAATGGGCCTGTGGCTTAATATTGATACCTTTTCTCCTGAAAATGCAAAGACATTCGGGCAGTTTCTTTCTGTTTTGCATTGGTTTTGTTTGCTTACTTTCTGTTTATTTGTTGAAGCTCTATCACTTGTCACTCACAGCATTCACCTAGTTGGTTAGCTACTAAGATCAAGTGTTAGTAGTGAATTTCACATTCCCCGGAATCACATACACATACCTGAAGAATGACTGTATACCTTGGAGCTGAAACCAGAAGTCATGCAAAATATATTTACAACATAAATTACCCAACAAGTATGAAAGGATCATTAGTTATTACCTCCAATTACCAGAATATAATGACAATTAGTGATCGTTTGGAAAAAGGACAGTGCAGTCACACAACATAAAAAGTAAGAATGGAAAGCAGGGAAGACGGCTCCACGGTGAAAAGCATGCGCTCTTCTTCCAGAGGACCAGACTTCAGCTCGCAGCACCTATGTCTTATAGCTCACAATAGCCTGGAGCTCCAGCCTCCCCTGCTTGTCTCCATGAGGACACACAGGCATGTGGTACACAGTTACAACAATGCACACACACACACACACACACACACACACACACACTCATAAATATAAATAAAAACAAAAACACATGTTTTATAAAAGAAGGGAAAAGAAACATGTTGGCCTTTTCTTTCTTTGAAATATTACATATTATGTTATACATTTAATGGTCTCACTTTCTGACTTAGGTTTTCTGTCAGCACAAATGTGTAAACAAATTATACTAGAGGTTTGGTTGATAACTCTAAAAAAGAAAAGGAAAAGTCAAGGATTATAACATTATGGTTTGCTCCAAGGGTCTCATAGTTACTAATTGCAGACTTCAGTATTTAATTTGGGATGTGTTTAACACTGATTGCTTTAACATAACATCATGAAATATCAGCAATTTGCATTTTGTAAAATGAGCAACACTGCCCCATCACAATTCCTGCTGATTTGGCAAGATAGTACCATAGAAACCCCCCCCCGCCCCAACACTCAGCCAAGCCTTCATTGGTTGAGCCCAAGAGAGCTGGGTCCATTAGCAGAGTAGCAAAATATGAGTTTCTGAATGATTAATGAGATACCCACTCAGTTTCTTCTCTAACTAAATTTGAAATTTTTAATTGAGTTTTCATAGAACACAATTCTCCAAAACTTTATTTAAGAATATTAGTCTACTTATTCAAAAAATAGATTATATTTAAAGTGTACATAAGTAGACTTAAAATCATGTCAGGGCATCATAGCATAGGAAGTGAGATCACGGTGATACTGCACACAATCTTGTCAGAGACAATCTATTTGTGTTTAGTACGTGCTTGTTCAGTATTTATAGGGAGATAACAGAATATACCCGCTGTTTTGTATTTGCCTTGTATTATTGAAGAAATGGAACCCTAGTGGTAAAGCTTGGCAGTTTCTGCAACTTTGTCTTATTTCTGACTTATGAGCAGATAAAAGGATGAATAGCATTAGAAGTAGATTACTGTTTCCCAGAGGAACCTGAGATTTCTGAGATTCATTTTCGGATCTACACTTGAATATTGTGAACATTCCCCTGAGAGTATCTAAGTGTCAGCTTTAAGAAATGTTAACTTATTACCCCAGGAAATTGTAGATGATATTCAATATAAGATTTAATTCATATTTTTTATTTCTAGAATTTATTTATTTACCTTTAGCAGCAAAAACAAGCCAGAGAAGCAAAGTAGCAAAATCACAAAACATGAGCGGCATGATGATTTGAAGTTGGCTCTTTTATCTTCTTTTTTCTTTATAAAAACGTATCAAATTTATTTTGACATTTAGTTTCATTTTTAGTAAGACTATTTGACAATTACTGTAACTTAAAATTCATTATTAGAAGTACAGAAAACATTAACAAGCAGTTAAATACTGTAGTGAATAAAGTTACTGGACCATGCATGCAGAAAAGCCAGGTTTAATAGTCTCTCCAGTCTGTTTTGCCACTGAAAGGTTCCTGCTTTTATACTTTAGCCATTTTATTGCAGATCCTGCCATCACTGTTACACTCATGAAAAATTTTCTAAATTTAAACCATTATTGATTTAAATTAAAGTATGACTTCATAAATTTGAAATTTTAATTTCCACTTTGATCCTGTATGAGAAAAGAGTCACAGGACATCGCTGCCATATTAGTTACAAACAGAATATAAACAGAAATAGTGTCTATGCAATCAACAAATTATCTGGTGACATAAACTATTTCACAGTCCTAGTGAGAGCAAGAAAAAAATGGAACCCAAGGTTTCAAAAGCACGTGGTGTTTTTACTGCTGGCTTTAAGTCATGTCACCCTTAGCAACTCATTTAAGAAAGTGACAGCGTACAAAAGATATATCCATGGTCAAGATAATGAGACACCTATATAAAATGAGGTTTTAAACTGAAGAAATATCTTAATAATTGCCAGCTGTGTTAAAGGCTAAAGTCATAAGAATGCAAATAGCCATAATCATTAATAAAATTTTCCTTTGAGGAAGTCAGTAACGCTTCTATTCCAAAAAATAAGCAATGATTTTAAAATAGTGATTAATATACTTTATCCTTTTTTAAGCCAAAGTAAACTTTTCCCCTCAGAAGGTAATTCTCTTACATTTCTAATATCATCTGCCTGGAACTGAACCCCGTTTTAAACTAACATTTGAAGAGGATTCATAGTCCAAAACCATTTTTTCTACATGATGTTCTTTACCCGAGTGCATTAAGCTCCAAAATGGCAAATGACTGTCAGTTTAAAGAACTGTCACTACAGATTAAGCAGACAAATGCTTGGGACCAGTAATGTTTTATTTTTATTTTTCAGATTTTAGAGAATTTTATAATACCTTGAGGATGGGATACAAATCCAAACACAAGGTTAATTTATATTTCTCATGGCTTGATGATAATTTTTATACATTTTGAGTGCACCTATATTTTGACTGCAACCTATCACAAAATAGGGTGTCAGATTTTCCACTCTTGGCATCAGGTCTGAACATGGGTGTTAGATTTAACAGTGTTTTGAATTTTGAACTTTCACATTATGTATGCTCCAGCTGTATGGTAACTGCTAACTCAAATACCTGTTAGTGGGTTCCAACAAACTTCTATTTCTAAACCTAAAAATTACTACAATATTTAGGTCAGAACATAACTCTTCTATACGGTCAGATTTAATTTATAATATAATACTATCACAAAATTGACTGAAGCCTTAGTGAGTCCTTCCAAAGCTGTGGAATTTTCCAGATAATTTTTCTCTATTTGCACAGTCTGTTCATCTTCAATCCATTTTTAGTTGTTCAGCTTTTGCAATGTTTTCTTGATATTTTTGTTTCTTCTTTTGCTCCTTCTCTCTGGCTTCCATCATCTCGGCCAATTTCCAGGACAGTACAGCACTAGCTAGAAACAGTGGCGTAAGGAAAACGTTGACTGTTGTAAAGAAGCCCCATGGGTCCTTTGCAGCCCACTCCACAACATATGCAGGCCAAGCCTTTATATCAAACATTTTCAAAGCAAGCAGGAAGCTGAAGCTTATATTGGAATAGTGATCTCTAATTTTTTCTGGAAATATCAGTTAGCCAGTCACAATTCAGATGGCCATTGGTTATTGTGTTTATTTTGACCATACACTTTTGAGGGGTTTAATAGCAGATGAGCACCAGGCAGGAAGGAGGAAGGCAGAAACTATCTTTTTAAACACAAACTGAAATTAAAATGAAGCCATTAAACTCTACAAATTATTTTTTCAACAATGTTATTTATTCGTTTACTTCAAAAGTAATTATACCATATATAATATATAAAATGTAAATATATGTATGTGTATCAACAACCTTAAGTACAGAAAGACTTTATGTTAAGTGAAAAGATGTTTTGCCTCTCTGTTCATACATATATATACACACATATATATATATATATATATATATATATATATATATATATATATATATATTTAAGATTGTTGATATCACCATTAAAGATACTATAACACTTTTGACAATTTATGTGTCTAATATTAAATTTTATACCATGCCTAAAATTTAACCATTCTGCTTTTTGTTTGCCTTGACATTAGCCTATAACATTCATTATTTTATCATTGAAATTATTAAGCAATTACTTTTAATTAATGTTTAAGATTATTTAGTGCACATCTTTAATCAGTAATTTCTTTACCTCTTAGCCATACAACTTTTTCTGTAATTATGGCATTTCTCTTGCAGCACCCTTATGAAATGTGAATGATATCTTTTATAAACAAGTAATGGTAGTTCTTCTATAATAATCAAGGAGTTTAAGCCTAGCCAGTTAGAAACCCTTTGTATTGTAGTGGATCAAAGAGTTGTGCCATATTTATAGATTAAAAGACCAATTACTTTTTTTTAACCAGCATTTAACTCTCTCCTCTTACATTTCTCATTCATTTGAGAGAATTAAGAAGTAAGGACTGTGGAGTCCTTTATATATATATATATATATATATATATATATATATATGACATTACTATTATAATCATCACTTCATTATTACCATGTTATTCTTTATCTAGAAGGTCAGCGACAGAGAACTTGAAATGAGTGTAGGTGCTAGTTTCTCACAGAACATCATTTAATTCACTAAAACATTTTCTACAAATTTCATTCAAATTTTACTAATTTCACCAAGGATCTTCTTGACTTTCCTGGAAAATCTGAATATGTTTGCTCACCCAATATGGTACAATGACCACAGACCAATGAAACAATTTCCAACAAGTTTGTCTCTGTGAACCAACGAGTTTACTTAGATTACTTACAGGAATGTGGATGAGTATAGTAACTACATCACTGAAAAGCCCACCCCAACCTCAGTTTTGACTCAAGAAAAACAAAACAAAACAAAACAAAAACAGTTGTACCCATACAATCCATGGCCGTTAAAAGGCATTTTTCATTATGGAATAACACATGGCATTATTAGAATGGGATTCTGATATATGTTAAGATCATAAAAAGTGGCTTCCCCTTTTTAAAATGGCACCTTGGCATTTTGCTGCTTCTGATTTCCAGGGCTTATGCAATATTCCTGCTATCATCACCCTAGTATTTGGGCATCTACTCATAAAACCCCTTATTCCTTCAATCCATCTTAACTGTTCAATAGGCCCAGTACAAGTGAGAACTGCATTGTCGATTTCTATACATATTGCAAAGCTCAGGATTGTGTGTAATAAACACATTTTAACAGAGAAATAAGTTTTTTTTTTTTCCATCACAGGCAATTTATTTTGTTCTATTCATTCACAGTTAATACAGAAAATACTTGGAAACATTTCCATATAATGTTTGACACAGAAATCATCAAATAGAAGTATACAATGTTGACAGGAGGCAGTACATTTATAATTTATAAATAAGTGAAATAAGTTTTAATTATTAAGACTTCAGATGGGAACAAGGATGAGATAATGCAGTAAAACACAATGGACAGAGTGTAGTGTTAACAAAAATTCTATGACTGACTTGCCTCAAAGTCCTGGAACATCTTTTTGACGTGGTGTTATTACTTAAGAGCTTAGGTTTAGAATTATCATAATACAAAGAAGAAAAAGGCCACTTAACAGTCACTGTTTGGAATGGAAATTCAATGGCATAAGAATCTAGGGGAAAACTACCGCCTGATAATTTGGAAGTCATTAAAGTACATCAGCTTTGTATCAGTTTGACAAAAGGCCAGAAGTCAATTAAGAGTGAAAGGGCCCAGCATTTCTGCGGTTTCAGTCTGTGATTACTCACCTCTGTTGTTTGTGGACCTACAGTTGCATGAAAAATTGTAGTACATTGTATACCTTTGTGCTTGAGAAATTTAGTTGGGTAACATGAAAATAAAATTACACATTGAAGTTTTGTATATCAAAAGAAAAAAATCCAAGTATTTCTTATAAATTGAATAATTCTCCCTGCGGAATGTAAAATAAGTCTAATTTGTGTGTCTAACACTTAGCTACATAAATATGCAAAGCATAGCTCTAATTGTAAAAAAAATATGCAATTAAGGAGGACTATTTGTAAATAGCACTAGTGATGCTTTGAGGTCAACATAAGAAGCCATATGGTAGGGTCAAGATGAAGATAGAGAGCTTTTAAAAGAAATATTCTCAGGGCTGGAGAAATGCTCAAGAATTAAGAGACTAACTTTGCCTTCAGATGATGAGCAAGGCTCTGAGCACCCATCTTGGCCAGGGCATCCGATACCCTTTTCTGTCATCCACAGCAACCTATTCATACGTCACACACACACACACACACACACACACACACACACACACACACACACACCTGTAAATAAATATAAATAGATATTAAAAAGAGAAGCATTCTGGTTCACTATATGCTTACCTGATTTATGTGTTGGAACAAGTTTTAAAAAGGTATTATCAAATCCTCAAGGTGATTTGGGCAACAGTGACATTAATAGCATGTTACAGACTCTGTAAATGAACACCAAAGAAGTTAAAGATTGGATAAGTACTGTGATTAGTACAATTTAACCATACCTAATGATTATATGAAAAGAATTTCACAGATATAAAATTTGAAGTTCTTGTACTATAAAATGATAAACCTAGCATATGCCCCACCTAATTTATAACTAGTCTAATTATTTTCTTTAATGTTATATCATTTGTGTCTGAGTACCTGACCTTGAAATTTTTAATCTTTTCATTTTTAAATCTACTTAGTTTGCTACATCAAATTTAGTTGGTAGGATTTTGACATCTTATTTTGTGATAGTTATATTCTCTCCCTTTGTATGACTTCTAATTTGGTTATTTTCAAATATCCCAAGACATTAAGATGTATCAAATGCATGAAGTAGGAAGCGCCCCCCTCCTGCTCTCCTCTAAATTTAATCACCATGCCCATTTCTTGTCTTCTATTTCTGACTGTGAGGAAACCTTATCCAATTCTAGCCTACTTTCTATATGAACTCCTGAATTTATACACAGTTGCGGGGCGGTGAAGTTGCTGCAGATGAACAGAACCAAGGTACAAACATAATCTGATTTAGCTAAATATCTATTGAAAAACATGCCATCGTTCAAGTTAGCTAAGGAACACAATATCAGTATCTACAGAAAATGAGACAAAACACTATTTGGGAATTGCAGAAGTGGAGCCAGCAAACTCACAGGTGTGCAAACAAGCTATTATTTCATGGAATACGAAGGGAAGAATGCCATGAGAATCCCAGGGCAAGTGCATTCTGTAACAACTTTACAGCTGTTGGCAAATGCATTATTTGCACAGGCTTCCCTGGAGTTTCTATTGCAGTAAGAGTTTCCATTGTACTGCAAAATTCTATCAGCAGAAAAAGTACTCAGTGAGTATCTTGAGTTCAAAAGCCAGTTTTCCTTGCAAGGGACTACACCATCCTCCAAGAAGCAAGCACCTGACCTCTCCCTAGCCCCTCCACCACCAAGGAAAAGTATTTAATTTTATTTAATTAATAAAGAAATTACTGTGCATTTCGATATTTACATACTACACAAACATGCACTGAAATGTATTCTTTTGTCAATCGAGGAAGTACTGACCTAGAATTTTAAAGAGAAAGTCAAGAAAATAGGATTTGCTAGAACTGAAGTGTCCCTCACTGAAAATGGCTTCAGTGTTTCCAGTAGAGGGCTCTCAGAAAAAAAAATGGATGGATTACCTGGATACTTTCACTTAAATCACTTGATAGAATGTCTTTCTTCATGATGTGACAGATACCTTCAAGATCTTTTCTTATGCAGTCACTTGATTTTATCATTCGGCTTTCAATAATTGAACTGTATGGAACAGATTCACTCCAAATAAATACATTTCTTAAAACATTTATCACTTGGAAAGATCCTGTTTGTTCCTGGTGAACAATGAATCAGGATGAACCCAAATGGCTTTCTTTCTTAGGGTAAGAAATAGTGAGGATTTACAACAATTTGCTAAGGGAAAGGGAATCTATTATTACCACTTAATAGACTTTGTATTAAAATAAACATGTAAAATGATATAAAAAAGTTTTAATCCAGAACTTATACTTTCTCAGAGTCAACAAGCTATAGAAAAAAAAGCTTACAAGAGAATCAATGCAAATCATTGAACTCTATCTACTGTATGCATTAAGTTGTGAATATATGTGACTATGGGTGTGTGGCTACATCCCATGTGAGGGAGGTAACAGAAGCCTCAAGTTTCTTCTCCTATACTTCTCAAAACTATCACTTGTAAGTGGCAATGAGGAGTGTTTGTGCCAGTGTTTACCTCTCTCCTCCTGATTCATGACCATCAAACTTTCTTCATGTCCTCAGTTCAAGTCACTGAACCCTGAATACTTGAGATAATAGGTGATATTGAACCTTATGTATATTTTGTGTTTCTTCTACAGTCTCATGTATAAGAAGGTTTAATTAATTAATTATGAATAAGAAATTAAACTCATGATTAATAATCAAGTGGGAAATGCTTAGCAGTATATTG